ACTAAATTTTGATGAAAAAAATGATTTTTTAGGAAACAATTTTTTTTTCAGTTTTTTTTTTACTTTTTGGCGATGGAAACAAATTTTATAATCAATTGTGGAAAAAATTATCATTTTAATTGACAATTTTTATGTAAAATAAAGCCAAACGAACACAATTTAAAAAATTTCAGAGTGAAAAATTATACAAATCAAACACAATTAATGAACAATTCCCTGTAATTCATTTTATTTCCACCCATTTTCTATCCTTACAATCAAACGGACCCTAAGAGTACTCTAGCAAACATTGAACTTGTAGTTAATTTTATGTTATTTATTTTAACTGGGCTGTATTACCTTCTCTTGAAACAAACAGGTTATAATTTATGACAACTCGAAGAAGCTCGAGGCAGTTTATGTTATTGGTGCATGGTGTTTTGTTATGTACGTTACTTTCTAGAAAATTAAGATTTATTAATTGTTAGTGATAAGAAGTAAATTTGAAAATTAAGCCGACAAATATGCTTTTGAGCAAGTTATTTGAACCTCAACTGATCAGAACTTGATTGTCTTGTCGTTTTAGCTTTATATAAAGTATTGAAATGTGAAGGAGGCAATAAAAAAAGGAAATTGCAGTATTGATGAATGTACACTTGCAAAAGTTAAGTCCACTGAACGCGTGTGACGTGCAATAGATAAAAAGATAAGATGGGCCGAATTTGGAATCACAAAATTTATGGAGGCGGGAATATTACGTGTACCATTAAATTAATATCTAACTTAAACGTGTTTTTGCAAAAGACATTTTCATTATTCTTATTCCTTCTATCTTTGCCGTTACCGACTTCCAAATCCAAATATACTCCATCTTCTTCATTGCCATTCATACCCGCATTTAACACCAATTTGAATACATCTATCTTTCCTGATTATAATCAGAATCCGAATAGCTCTTTTCTCGCCAATGCAATGTACTGACTAGTACATTTTCATCAAACAAGGTATTGTAAATAAAAAATCTCTTATTTCAGTTGGAGTCCGGAATTACATAAAACTGCTTTTGTAAATATCAAAGGGAAGATTCGTCCTGTACATTCGCATCATGGGTTCGTACCAATTGATCAAAGAAAATATTAATCCAGAAGCACTGAATCTGCAAGGAAACAAGTGTACTCTGCGCATTGAGGCTAGAGAACGCGGTGATGATGTTGAATCCGCTTTATCAAAACTTAATTCCCCGTCTTCTCCTAGATTGTGTCGCAATGCCGCCTCCAGATGTATGTCATCTGCTTCTGGAACCACTCGCCTTGTCTCCCTTGATGTATTCCGGGGGCTTACTGTTGTGGTAACTTTCCATCCTATAATTGCATAAATAGTACTCATGCATCTTCAGATTTATTTGAGGTCTAATCATTTGTGCTGTCTATGATACTAATTGTAGCATTTGGGGTCAAAGCATCTATTAGAATAAGGTGGAGAGAAAGAAAACCACCCATTTTATGTTTGGTGGGAAGTATCTAGACGATTATAATAGAGGACAATAGCAAATTCTTAGATGTTATAGAAGTTAGTAACATAAGAAAACGAAGTTTCTTGGTAAAGATCATTAAAATTGGACAGCTACTGGCTGGCTAACTTAATTACGATCTGGGAGAGTATTGAGGAGGCTGAATGAATCGATGTAACATAGTTATAGATCACAATTGCTGTAGGTAGAAAACATTATGAATGAATATATAATCAGCGCATAGAAAGAAGATCATCTATTTCTTATATCAAAACATTTACCGCCCCATTTCACTTGTGATGCAGTTGATGATACTTGTCGATAATGCTGGTGGAATCTTTCCAGCAATCAATCATTCACCATGGAATGGTTTAACATTGGCAGATTTTGTGATGCCATTTTTCCTTTTTATGGTTGGCGTATCTCTTGGACTTGCATATAAGGTACCTGTTTATTTGTAAGAATTTAGTTAGACATGCTTTAGAGACCTGGCGATTGCATTACACTAGATTGTTGCGACACTTTCTTTCAGCCAGAGCATCTGAACAAACATTAATGATCTTGCCTTATATTCCCATTACATGACTGTAGAAGCATCTATTTCTGCTTATCTGATTTTGAGGTTGCCAATGTATTTTCCAATGTTTTATGGGATTTTTTTAGAATTATTTTCTCACATCATTTATGTTATACCAACTCTGTTGATACAGCTGGTATTCTATTTGGTCTTTGACCGACATCTATAGGGGCTCCTAATATTTCCATGTGTACTTTTTTTTTTTTTGCCAGAACTTGACTTGCAGAGGTGCTGCATCAAAAAAAGCAATGTTTCGAGCCCTAAAGCTTTTAACCCTGGGTGTTTTTCTTCAAGGTGTTTTTCTACGACTCATGCATTATGATATAATATTTGAAAATTGCTATTTGATGATATGATGACTTGATACAAGAATCTCTTCAGAGGCAATTCATTTACAAGATTTTTTAGTAATATTTATGTCTTTCTTATGGACGCATTTACCAGAATTTCTTCAGTGAGCATGTCATCAATCATCTTTTGCTCTTCATCTTTTCATTCGCATCATGTACATTCACTTCTGATAAGTACAGGTGGCTATTTTCATGGTATTAATAACCTAACCTATGGCGTGGACATGTACCAAATCAGATGGACGGGTATATTGCAGGTATGCATCAAATTATTTTTTCTCAGTTCTCTTTAACCGAATTCAATTTATAGTCTATATAAAAATAGAGCCTGTTTATATATTCTTTTGGATTCCTACAGTGAGAAAATTCTTTAGTTTGTATAATTTTGACATTATGCTTTTCAAGTGCGTTGTTGTACTTAAAGTTTTTCATTTTTGTTTTTTTCCTTACAGAGAATTGCAATAGCATATTTTCTGGCAGCCGCATGTGAAATTTGGCTTAGGAGCGATGACAAAGTTAATTCAGAATTATCTATGCTAAAGAAATATCAAAAGCAGTGGTAAGTTCTAGCTCGTGCCTAATTTTTTGCATTTTGAAAGTGTTGAAGAATATTATATTGTGATGTCTATTGCAAAGCTATGTTCCAACTGAAAGAATCACGTGGAATAAGTATTGGAGACATTGTGCAATTTGATAAACCATTAGCTCCTAAGTAAAATGAAATGCATCTCCAGGAGTTGAGCATGTTATTTCATCCCGTAAAACTATATGACAATGCTTGTAGAAAACCTATGAACTGCATAAAATCATCTCTTAGACTAAAAAATTTTATATGCTGCCTTTCTGATTGTGTAAAGTAGTCAGAAGTAATTAACAATTGCTTTTGAATGTATGCATTTAATTCTCAACGTAAGGGTTACATCAACTTTTAGCTTTGTAGTTTAGGTTCATAAATATGGTAGTTTGAATAAATTCCATCTGCATCAGATTAATCATTTATATAGGGTCTGCCATCCTGAGAATTGAAGACAAATCATTGACCCTTTGCATTATTTGAATAAACTCAATGGCAGTATAAATCCTGTTAATTTGATGTATAATTGAGGGAGAAAGGAATGAGCAAAGTTGGCTGGTAAGGAAAAGTAAGAGGTTTGATGAGCAAAATCAAGAATCTTTCCTTGCTGTAAGATATCTGGAATATTGAGTAGAACTAGGTTCTAAGCTTGTATTGTAATGTAGTGCTTGACATCTTTTTACCTGTATATACTGTGGAAGATTAGTGTTCTAACGATGAAATCGAAGGTAATGTAGATGAGCCTATCTTCTGGGCTTTTTGTTTAGTCTTCTCAAATATGCAAGCTTGTACATGTACAAGCAAAGTTACTTTTATGGGAAGCCTCAAAAAGGCACTTCTGCAGCGTATGCAAGGCTGATTTTGTATGTTGGGATGCACACAATGGATGAAGGAATTCGAAAATTTTGCTATGCAACTTATTTTTTGTCTAGGCTAAAAATTTAACTCGTGGTCTTTTAGTAATGACTAAGTGTGCTGGTATTCAGAATCCCTGGTGAATATTTGTTTGAGGAGTATAGATTAGATCAATAAGGCTTAGTTAGTTCTTAACAATTCAAGAACCTCTTGTGAGCATGAAAACACATAGCAAATTCATATTCTAAAGGATTTTATCTGAAGCAAGGATACTGCTACGTTCTAAGTAAAAGTGGCTCATGGTTACGAAGTAGAAATCTGACGTGTTGGGAAGCTGCTGGAGCCTGGAGACAACATTTACTTGAATCACTTCACATGCAAATTCCTACATTGGGGTGTTTCAATAGAAGAGGAGTGCTAAGAACCAAGAAAGAACATATCAGATTGATGCACAGTAGATAATCTTACATCAGATGAGTTACTAATAATAATACTGTACCGAGATTAGATGCAATTTTACCCTGTACTCATTACACTTGAAGAGACGAAGAAAATTGAATTTCAGATATAGAATACGTTCATGTTTCTTAATCTTAGAAACGTGAAGGCATATTTCGTCGTATACAAAATATTTCAGTCCTTGCTAACCCTTGAAATAAAGTAATTATATACTTTCCTGAAAACTTTCAAGCGAATAATTCTACCGCACTGCTTTGAGGATGTTATTACACCTGACTACATTGTGATTTTGAAATTCCAAATATCAGATCCAACAATAATAGAAAACTGTGTGTTTGGGTTTCATTATAAGGAGATTATAATTATAATCTATAATAAGATTAAAATGAGAGTAATGTGTCCCACAAAATCTGTATGGATAATAAGTGAGTAATTCCAACAATAATAGAAAACTGTGTGTTTGGGTTTCATCATAAGGAGATTATAATTATAATCTATAATAAGATTAAAATGAGAGTAATGTGTCCCACAAAATCTGTATGGATAATAAGTGAGTAATAACTGTGAATGTGTGGTTAAAATTGAAGTCTAATGAAAATTATAAGTAAATTATAATGCCAAACATAGGGTAAACCTTATTACCCAATAATTTGCAAATACCCTAGGTAACATTTAATAGAATTTAGTAATTATTTCCTCTAAACCTCCTTCCTATGTAATATATACAATATGATGTAAAAGTCACGACAATGTGTACAATGGAGAAATAAGTAAAAAAAATAGAAGTAAAGATAAAAACCGTAGAAGAACCTATCTGATTTAATTATGAGACATATTAATATGTCAACTGAAACGATGAGCTCTCAGAAAGAGATGCAACACATTTGTTAGGGAGACATTGGAAACTGGACTGTAAACTAAATCTTTTTAATGTTTGGTCCTTTCAGTTGTCAGCTGTATACAAGTCTTATATTTCACTAAATGACGCTTCCTTTTTTCCATATTTTCAGGGTTGTGGTCTTAATGCTTACTGCCTTGTATCTTCTGTTGCTATATGGTTTGTATGTTCCTGACTGGGAGTATCAGATTCCAATTGATGCATCATCTTCTGGGAAAATGTACTCGGTGGGTTTTCGATAGTAATTTGGTTTTAATCTCACAAAGTGTGGGCAACAACTTATTTCTGAAAATGTTGTAGCAAAGTATATTGACATTATTGGTTCCTATTGAAGGTGAAATGTGGTGTGCGGGGAGACACTGGACCAGCATGTAATTCTGTTGGTATGATTGATCGCAAAATTTTGGGTATTCATCACTTATATAGAAGGCCAATCTATGCACGCACAAAAGTATGTTTCTTTTTCTTAGGAGTTCTACTTGATGTTCGTTTCAACATTTATTTGTCATTCTTTGATTCTGAATATCATATTATCGTTGCAGCAATGTAGTATCAACTCCCCAGATTATGGTCCACTTCCTCCTGATGCTCCCTCGTGGTGCCAAGCCCCTTTTGACCCTGAAGGGCTTTTAAGGTTTGCTTGTTTATTCTCCTTATAGTTCAACACATTAACTCTTAGTCAAATCGCATTGTACGAAGAAAGAAGTAGATTAGCGTTATGACTTCTCATTGCAACTTTCTCCACACATGCTAAGACAAAAGGATAAATAACGAAAAAAGAATGATTGCTATTCTGGTGATATGTTCTCAGTTCACAAATGCATTTATCAAAAATATATTTAAAAATGATAAATATTTCGAGCATATCTCATGTTCAGTTGTGAAGATATCTTGATTAGAACAGACTTTAAAGCTTGATAACGGAAGAGAATGCTTTTTCTGAAGGACAATTTACTTAATTTTAAGCTGTTTTCTGTTGCCAGTATTCTGTTAACCTCATTCTACATGCATTGCAGTACAGTGATGGCAACTGTTTCTTGCTTGATCGGTTTGCACTACGGGCACGTTATTGTCCATTTCAAGGTGAATAGTTGAATTGTGTGACTCATGATTTTGTTTTATAAGGGTGAATAATGCCTAATTAATCTTATCTCCCTTGATCACACACAGGATCACAAAACTAGACTATTGCAGTGGCTTGTTCCATCATGTTGTCTTGTAGCCTTGGCTGTGATATGTGACATTTGTGGTAAGATTTTCTTCTATTACCTTTTTGTTGTATTACATCCTGACCAAGTTGCTGATTTGGCTGCAGTATTTTGTCTCATGTACTTGTACATGTGGCAGAATCGACTCACACCCAAAAGAATTCTTGGGAACCATTTTTTTTTTCAAGAAAGTGATGGGTGCAAATTATACTCTTTTAATCCACACTTGAACGATCAAATTAATGAAACAAGAAAATTTCAGAACAGTCATCTAATGTCATTCATGCCTCCCATTTCAAAATTTCTATTTTTTCCCAATAAAAGTTTTCCCCATTGACATATTTTGGTTTCTGTTGTAGGGATGCATATAAACAAGGTTCTATACTCCTTCAGTTACATGTGCTTTACAACTGGCGCTGCTGGAATTCTCTTTGCTGCAATCTATGTAATGGTTAGTTTTGAGGAAATTTTTCCAATTGTTTTAGCATTTGATACAGATGCTTGCTTAAACTTCCAATGATTGGTTTACTTTGAATGCTATTGCTTACTCGAATAAAAATGTGATAAATTCTATAAAGTACAGGCTTATTCCTCTTACAGGTTGATGTCTACGGATATAGACGCTTTACTTTGGTGCTGGAGTGGATGGGAATGCATGCTTTAATGATATTTATTCTTGTAGCATGCAATATCGTACCTCTTATTCTGCAGGGATTTTATTGGAGTCAACCTCATAATAACATTGTTAGTATATCTATTATTTGCTCTTAAATTTCACGTCTCCTTCACTCTATAATGCAGATTTTTTTAAATATTTTTTAAGTTTTTGATTTTTGTCTGACAAATAATCTGATTTTTGCAGTTAACTTCAATAGGAATTGGGACACGGCGGTAGCAAAGCAGCTGTTTACATCTATTCTAAGTCCAGTGCAGTATTTAAGATTGGTGGGGGTTAGCCGGTGACTTAGATTTTGGTCTCTCCGCTGTCTCAAATGTCCATCAGTCCATGCGTGCCTGCATAGCATATGATTGATGCATCGACATATAAAGAGTTTAGAATGGTAGGAAAAATAGTAGAATTAGCAATACATTGCACTCGTCTCAAAAGTTTGTTTAGTAACGCAGATGCTACTCTGATACTAGTTTCTATGGTACATGGTCCTCTTACACGAAAACTGGAGCTACTTGTGTGCACTTAGATTCCGTGAAGAAAGTTCTATAATAATTGACCAAAGTTGATATAAATTGTAAAGAGAGACGAAATGATGAAAACAAAATTACTATTTGGTTGCCAACATTTGTAACTTTCTACGGAACATGGAAAGTTTAAATTTGAATGGATTCAATCAAACATAATTGCAGACTAGAGAAAAGGGAGAAGTAAAAGTAATGCAACAGGCTTAAAGAAAGAATAGTTTACAATCCCTGGGATTCTCGTGCTGAGCCATCGCTTTATGTTTAGACTCGAATCAAATAGTTAAATTATTAGATCTAAAAGATTAAATTAGTCATAATTTTTATCTACATGTTCCCTAGCGAGGCTTTTTTTTTTTTTTTCCCTCCAGTGGTGACTTGAATCGAAACCTCTGGTATCAATGTTGAACCAATTAATTTTTGTTAGAGGTCGGAGTGTATATTGATATCGAAACCTGTGGTATCAATGTTGAACCACTTAATTTTTGTTAAAGGTCAGCGTGTATATTGCTTTGGGCTAAAAGTATGTTAAAATCAATATATAGTAATGAGATAATGTTAAAATCAATATATAGTAATGAGATAAAATGATGGAGTTGAATTTGCATTACATATTTGATTCAGTGGAAACAGAATATGGAGAAGATAATATAGAAACCCAATTGACAGAAACTAACAGGCGAGTGGATGAAGAAAGCCAAGAACCACCCTGGAAACTGATTGCTCCAACTCTCTGGATCTGCCTGCCATTGGACTTCACACTCACGTCACTCCACTCCACTCCAGATAAATAATTACCCATAATGAAGCAGCAGCTTATATAATAAGTAAATGTCCACGTGAAACTGAATATATAAGTATGATGATTATATTATTATATGTCTCTGTCTCTCTTGCACTCCGGTGGCACAGTGGGGTATCTGACCCGATCAGTGCAGTAGTTATAAATAGTGTATTTGCTTCGAATCCATCGGAGTCGACGATATTGAAAGGCATCAAGGTCTTGAAATTCCTTCTGATCCCACCAGCGTTTGCCTTGAGTGGCACAGAATTTGGCATTCACAGAGGCTTCACAACCATCGACATGGAAACTATTGTATGAAGCAACAAATGGAGCCTTAGACCAATCTGTTTTCTCAAGCCCTCCCCTGGTTGCCCAATCGTCAGCATTCCATAGACTAGAGTATATCTTCATGGGTTGGTCGAATGGAAATTTCACTCCCAAGTCTTTGCTATTCTTGAACACTCTAATTGGGATATCATCCACAAAAAATCTGTGCCACCCAATCATCAATCATTGACAGAGTTACTAAGAATGAACAAGCCCAGACCAGACCATTTTAAAGGTTCTTGATTTAAAGCATATTGATTTCTGTTTCTACTCTCCTTGATTAGCGGGAACTAGAATTAGCTTTTATTACAGATTGCATATAAACACAGGGAGAAAATTTTTTTAAAGACAATTAATGGTCCTAGAAAGTCTAAATTGTCACATGGTATTTACTAAATAACGATTTACATCTGGACAAATCAGAATCTAGTCGGTCCCGTGCCAAGGACTCAATGTTAAAGTCAGACTCAGTAGAAGAAGAAAGAAAAGATATTTATGATTAACTCACTAAAATATTTATCAGTATTTTTTAAGCATTTTTCTTTTTTTCTCAACATTTCTGCTAGTGAGAAAAAACAAGTTTCTCTTTTTGAAAAAATATATATATTTTTTAACAAACATGTTTGTTGGAAAAAAAAAAAGTTACTTCAATTTAAAGGTTAAAAGAGGAAAAAAAATCGTGAGAATTTACAGATCTCATCAAAATGATTTAAGTAAAATATTCAATGAAGAACTTGACACTTACACAATCTGGTAGAGATTCCACAATACAGAATAATAATGGTACTCTTTTGTTGGATCAAACCACAAATAAATGCGCTGCTCTTTGTCTCCCTTCCCTCCTGTGTATACATTTGTCTGCAATATGTATGGTTGCCCTGTTCTGTTCCCCAAGAACTCGAAATCTATTTCGTCGTGCTCTGAGTTTTGAGAAGATAGCTGAAACATCAAAACAACGTTAAATAAATAAAAGCACATGTCTACAATGGCAATATTCATTAACTTACATAGAAAGCAGTGACAGTTCCAGCAGAATCCCCAGGAACCATTTTAATCTGCATACTGAAGTGCCCAAATAGGTAAGAACCCTTTGATTGGAAACCGGTACCTGCACCAGAAACAAATATTATACATATATGAGTAGTATGGGCAAGCTAAAAAAATGCAAGGCATGGTGCAATATTATTACCAGTGTACTTGTCAAGAGAGAGCTGGATCTCAAATCCACCATTGAAGTACTTAATATGATCAAAAGCCCATGTGGGCATATAGTTTCTGCCAAATGGTACGCCTACTGGTTTCCTTGGTGCTGCCCCCATTGCTCCAAAGACCATCATCAACAAACAGATTGACAGACTCCATTGATAATAAGAAGCAGGCATCTTTCTGCAAAATGAGAAACAATATCAGCATACTGTAACAGCAGAAAAAATGGTTTCTACTTTCTAGTGCATTACCTCATAGTCATAGGACAGAGGAAGAAGATGAGGAGAAATGGAGGAGTCTGATCCTTTTTATAAATAAAAATAAACAAGCAATATTTATAAAATAAAAAATAAAATATCCGAATGCGGACTATCCAGTTGGTTCTGGGTTGTATAGCGACCAATAAATGTAACCCAATATTTTAAAGACTCGTACGTGCCCTTCATATTATTTTCCTATCAACTCTCTCAGATATATATTACTGTCTGGCTCACATAACACAAATATTGTTGTTCATAATAAATAGCATTCACTATTGAATTACTACAAGTTTTTAAGAATAATATATATATCCTCATTATTATAGTAGCAATTACACCTTGCCTTTGTGCCTGAAACCTGGTAAATTAGGGAGAATTTATGCTTTCTCCCATAGATTTTATATTTTAATATGTTATTGATTGAAAAAAATATACGTGACCTTAAAAGGTAACAAGGGAGTGAAAGTAACATTATATTTTGAAGATCGTTTAAATGGCTAAAAATGTAAATTCTAAATGCATTGTATGTACCTATATTTGTTATTTGATAATATTCAAGAAACAATAATATGGGTATAAGAATGAACTATGTTTCTATATTTGATATTTTGATTATATTACTAGAAGTTAGAACTCACCACTCTCAGCTCACCACCCTCAGCTACGGTTTGAAGCAGCAGGCACCATCACGTTGTTGTTCCTTATTTTCAGGAGAATAGAATCAATTCTACTGGCCAGCTGTAGTGTTAGTTTTATGTCTGTTAAATAGAATAATTCTAGATCCTTCTTTCGTGGTGTATATAGCAATGTAACCTGAATGATTAAGGCAATCGATTTTATCTTCATTTCATCCTACTTTCTAACTTGGTATCAGAGCCAATCATGGCCAACACCGATTCCGGAAATCAGTCAAATCCATCCGAGCTTAACACAACTCCAAGCATTCAGGTAGCAACTGGCCAGAATACAACATTCGGAATTAACATAACTCAAACACCATCAGTGAAGCTGGATAAGAACAACTTCCTATTGTGGAAAAACATGATTATGCCCATAATCAAAGGGCATAACCTTGAAGGATACATATTGGGGACAAAGGTATGTCCACCAGAATTCCTAGCGACTCAGACAACTGTCGATCAAGATGAATCAATAGAGATGACTCGAAACCCAGAATTTCAGAAGTGGAACTCTGTAGACCAACTCCTTATGGGGTGGCTATATTCATCCATGACTCCAGAAATTGCCATGAAAGTCATGGGGTGCATGAGTTCAAACAAGCTGTGGGTAGCAGTTGAAGAAAGTTTTGGAATACTGAATAAATCACGAGTAATGTTTCTTACTGGTGAATTGCCAAGAACAAGGAAAGGATTGATGACAATGGACCAGTACTTAACCACCATCAAGCAATTGGCTAATAATCTGGAAATCGCTGGTAAGATCATTGATCAAAGTGACTTAATCACTCAAGTCCTGTTAGGATTGGATGAGGAGTACACTCCTATAGTCGTGCAGATAAGTAGCAGAGACATTATCTCCTGGCATGAACTATCCTCAGTACTTATGACATTTGAGAGTCGACTTGAACACTTAAACCAAGTCAAAAACAATTTCACTTCATTTAATATAAACCATTCGAGTGTTCAGTTAGCACATCGAACTGGCTCAAGTTCTGGCAGAGGATTTAGAGGAACTGGCAATATCAGATCAGCAGGTTTTAGAGGAAGAACAAGGGGCAGAGGAAGAACTTCAATTGGTAGGCAGAATGAAGCTAGAGGCCCCTGTCAAATCTGTGGATTGAGCAATCACTCTGCAAGTTACTGCTATAACAGATTCGATGATAGGTACATGGGAAGCAGACCAGCCAGCACAGGACGGCAGAACTTCAATGCTACACCATCAGCCTATGTAGCATCACCTCGAATCCTGGATGATCCAG